CATCACATTATTATAATAAGTGCAAGAGAGTGTATCTACATCCATTGCAAAACAAAAATATTCTCCAAAAAAAGGAAATAATACAGATGCAACTACAGTTGCGGCAATTGTAATCACTTATTTTGTAGGAAAACATTCACAGAGCTACTTATCATTACAATGTGCGTAGAATCTTTCCCCATAATATTTAACGACTCCAAGATAAATGAAAACTTTACTTGTAGAACAAAAATGAGCAAGGATAACATCAATGTTTTAGAACCTGAATTTAGGAGGTCAATTCTTGACGATTTGAAAGATGGGCATACATATGCAATTCTAACAGATGCATCTAATTAGTCTCCGCTATTTCAACAAAATTAAGAACGTTTCAAGAAAACGATTAATTTTTTTCCCCTTAAATAGTGAAAAATCTAAAGACATAGTTAATCATATAATGGTAAATATAGCAGATTCGGATTATCAATAAATTGCATATCAGGTTTCTGATCTGATAATGCCTCAGTGAATTTGAAAAAAACCAGAGTGTATTTACAGAATTGAGTCAGCACAATGCTGGTTGCGAATTGCGATATGTTCCTTAAAATTTTACAAACCTTTAAAAATATATTTCTTAAATAAATATTATAAAAGCTGTCCTAACATTTTGAAAATTTTTTTCAATAATGAATGGCAGAGGTATATTTAGGTTTGATTTCACATGTAGGAAATCTACTACATGCTGTTAATGTGCAGTTGCAATCAGAAGAATCTTAACAAAGATTCACAAAATTATGCTGCAGATGTGTTCATTTTACAATTAAAAATTGACAATAAATTTTATGACGCCATTGATAAAACTATATTAAAATGTTCAAAAAATTTTTAAAATACCGATAGACATTAATTTGTTTGAGGAGATTGTAATGCTCTCTATTTTTGATTTACAATGTAAAAAATATATTTTATGCGAATGTATAAATAAGATTTTATAAAATATAAAAAAAATATGGAAAATCAAATAGTTATAATGTTAATTATATTTTATTTGAGATTTAAATAATGGAACTAAACGTTTACCGTCGTTATTGAGATATTTATAAAATTCCTGGCATGACATATTATAAATTTGTTTAACCATTAGCTCGGCCTCTAATGTTGTTAAAGCAATCCGATTTCTCCTTTTTCCAGGCAGTCCTCATCAGGCTAAAAATGCGCTCGGATGAGGCATTAGAATAAGGTAAGGAGAAATCATACTCACATATTTTTTCCAAGCATGGGGATTTATTGTTATTACGAACAAATTCAACCCATTTCTTCTCTACTTCTAGACCATCTAACTTTAAGTAGACTTGCAATCTCCTCAAACAAGACATCAATGTTTTTCAGTATTTTTAATATATTTATTAAATTACAAAAACCATCAATTGATGGTTTCTGTTCCAAGGTCATATTTATACATTTGTAAATAGAGTTATTAAAATCAAATTTTGATTGTAAATATTGTAAATATTCTAAATTGTCTTAATAAAAATATCTGCTTCATTTAAAAAATGTATTAATTAGTGTATTATTATTTTTAGCAATAGCGCCATAAAATTTATTATCAATTTTTAACTGTAGAGATGAACAGAGCTGTAGCATGATTTTGTGAATCTTTATCAATAAAGAATATTCTGATTACAACTGAATCTGCCATTTCATAATCCAAAAAATTTTTCAAAATTTTAGGACAACTTTTAAATTCTTTATTTAAAAAGTAATTTTTTAAGGTTTTGTAAAATTTTAAAATTCTATCGATGGCAGGTTAAACCACCTGATAGGTATACAGCGTCTTCATGAGCGGGAGGGGTAGGAACAGTTCGCATCCTATTTTTTAAGGGGGGTATGGGGCAGGCTGCTTTAATGAGGGAAGTATAAATTTTTGGGGGGTTATCTATTAAATTTTGAGATGAAATAGGACAAAATTTATTGCTGTAAAAATTAATACTTTTATTATAGAATTATTATAATACAATTCATCGACCAAATCTATATATTGCAAACAATCATACACACTGTTTTCCAAATAAAGCTTTCTGCTATCCTTTTAAATGTAATTTAAAAGGTTTAGATATTTCAGCCATAATGCCATAATAATTAATTCATTGTAAATAATGGAGGTTTTAATTGAATTTATTATCTAAAAAATAAATTCTTTATATTCACAAAATATCGATAGTTGTTAGTAGAGATAAATTATTTTAAGTTATCATTTATAAATTCTCTGAAATTATTTAAAAAGGTGGAAATAATAATAGGGAAACACCGCCGCCGAAGGTGATGTAAATATTTTAGGGGGGTAGGCAAAGGTTTTTGAAGGGGGTTTGCATCCAGCGAAAATCCTGTCATGTAGACGCTGTAGGTATATATCGCAACAACTTAAACCATTCCAAGTCAGACCACTTTACCAACTCTTTTAATTCATTAACTCTTTTAGTTGATGAACTAAATTCGTTAAAACATTTCATCATAATTATTTCGACATCCACAGATAGTACATTCATTGCCTTCTTGCAAGAATTATGTAGTATATGGCATATACAGCCAATTGGTATTAATTCATTATTGTGCTGCCTCAATTCGGTAACTTTTGTTTTTGCCAAAATTTACAGAGACATTATCAGCGCAGAAGGCTGATATGCAAATCATTGATAACCCTGAATCAGATATATTAACCATTATGTGGCTAGTTACATCTTAGGATTTTTCACTATCCGAGGAAAATTTTTTTAACAGTTTTATTGAAATGTTCTTATTCTAGTTGAAATAAGCAAAGGATCAAGGGAAATGTTTTAATATTTCCCTTATTAGATGCATCTGTTAGAATTGCATATGAATGTCCATTTTTCAAATCATTTAGAATTGAGCTCTAGGATTCAGGTACTAAAACCAAATAAGGTTTGCACTTATATTGGAGTCATTAAATATGATGGGAAAAATAATTTACAAATTAGACATGTTTTTTGAATATTTAAAATTTATTTTAAAAATATTAAAATAATCAATTACATTTTTTATATATTAAAAATGTTAAAATACTTTTTTAAAAAATTGCGTGAGAAATTGAAAAATTGCGGTAGATTTTTGCGGGAGATTTCCAATTGCGGTAGTTTATCCGGGAGAGAGATGTCTGCGTGTAAATTAAAAAATTACGGGAGTCTCCTGCTGATGTGGGGAGACATGGCAACCCTGCTCCCCACACGTAAATTTAACATTAAAAGGGCAGAAGATTACTGAAGTGATTCATTTAAAATATTTAGGAGTTTTACTAGATAGGAAAGGAAACACTAAACAAGATCTGACGGCTAAGTTAAATTAAACTAGGGCAAAATACAGATCCTTTATGAAAATTTTGTCATCACACCAATTATCTATTCCTTTAAAGATAGGCCTCTTCAAAGTTATAATAATTGCATTCCTAAATTATGATATGGAACATGAAAGGATACTAAATTAGATAATAAAAAGACACAAATGTTTATAAATAAATACCTCCGATATATTACTAGAACGTTTTACCCGCTAAATACAACAAATTATACCCATATGGGCCAGATATAATATACTTCTATATAAATGATTGAATAAAGGAAAATCGAATTTAGGTCTATCGAATTGGTTGGTCATATTTTAAGACATGCCCGTAACAACTTAATCTATAAAGTACTTGTAAACATATGCCCGAATGAGTCTTAAGCCCTTACTATCATATAAAAGGCCAGTTTGCTAGAATAACAAGGTCTTCAAGGGAAGTGGACCTACCCTGGGAATTCATAAAGAGAGCTTCTACGGATAGGAAAACTTTGAAGATCATTCTGAGGCTTATACATGAGCATATGACAAATAACTGCTAAGTGTGGTAAAAAAAAATAATAAATAATTTTTATTATTAAAAAATGTTTTCAAATTCCTAATACAGTGAGTTATAAAACTATAAAAGGAGGTTTTTTTTTAACGAAAGTTCCCCTATACTCTACATGGAAATGTTCAATTCTTAGACTGTTGTTAACTACCAGTAATATTGGTTTACAAACCTTCCTTTACACCTTTATAGTTAAAATCTCGTTTCTTATACTTTTATGGTTATTTTCTCTAATTGTTGATAATTAGTCTTAGGTGTTTTCCTTTAATAGTCCAAATTTCAGTTATATATATTTTTGAAACCTAGTTCCACTTGTAAGGAAGTTCCTGTCGGAATATTATTTTTTCATTATTAAGTAAAATTAATTATAAGTATGATATCCTATCTTTGTATCATTGTAGTCTTTTCCTAATAATTAGTATATAATAAAATTTTTAACACATAATAAAAATTCAACAAGAATCACCTCATTGCTAAGCGAAATTAAATATAAATATGATATCCTATATCCTATTTTGTGTGTCATTGAAGTCTTTTAATTAGTAAATAATTATTAAATAGAATTCTTAACACCCAATAATTTAACAAGAATCACATCACTTTATTACTAAGCGAATTCAAATATAAGTATGATATCCTATTTTTTGTGTCATTGTAGTTTTACTAATAATTAGTGAATAGAATTTTAACATCATAAAATTCAACAAGAGATAAATAATAACTCCTTAATAATAAATCTTCTAATACTTACAGTACCTAATAGAATTTAAGCATCATAAAATTTAATTTGATAAATAATAATACAAAAACGCTTAACATTATAAGTTTTTCTTAAAGCTTAGAAAATTAATTAAATTAATTTAATAAAAGACAGTTGTATTTGGAATTAAACAGTATCTTCATATATTTTACCCTCTTGCTTCTTTATATTTTACTCTCTACTAAATCAAACTATTACAAAAACAAAATGGGTAAGTTTCACTCACTAGAATTTTAACTGGGTACAAGGTTTGTTGGTATCCTTGAGAAAAATTGGGATAATTATATAAAGGGTAGGCCTTAATATAATTCAGGTTCGCTCATTTTGGGCAGGTCTATGGCCAACGTGCTAGATAAGATAAGATAAGATATTAGCAGAATGCAAGAAAATTTAAGTATTAAGGAAAAATTAGTTTTAGCATCCTTAGTTGAAAAAAATGGGAATAATTGGTAATATTTATAATAAGATTATTATCATGTTTCTTCAAGGTCCTTTATTAGTAGAATGGCTAAACAATATTCTGAGCCAGGTAGATCTTTAGAATGGTTAAATCCAAATGTAATATTAAATTAATATAATCCAGTTATATTTTAAAATATAGCATTGTGCTCAAGAGTATGAATTATTAAGTGAATTAATTAATGTGAATATGTAAAATTATTTATGTATATACATACATATTAAATTTTCTTAGGCTATTGAATTTTAAAAAAACTGGGGACAATCCAAGTAGAGAACATGAAATTATAAAAATTTTAACTGATAAAAGACAAGAGGAATTAATGACATTAATTGAAGAAGAAACAAACCGTTATATGTAAGATTAGTAAATTTTTTTATAATAAAAAATATTTATTAGTAATCCTTAAGATAAAATCTTTGAAAATTAATCATATAAAAAGCTCAATTATAGTAAAAATTTAGGCTGTGCCAATACATAAACCTATCTGATTTGATATTTTAATAGTTATTTCATGATTGTATACATAATTATAATACAAATAAAATGAACTAAAATTCATATTATTTATAAAATTTAAAAAAAAGTTGAATAATTTTAAAAGATGGAGTAACAAAAATTATAAACTTTTTACTATATTATCTGCATCAAGAAAAAGAATTATAACATATCTTACAACTTACATTCAGCTAGTGGAATTCCATGTCAAATTGACCAAAAAAACAGACATATCTAAAATGAATGAAACTCAATATGATAGTTACTGATGTTGTATATTTTAGTAAAATCAAGATTTTAGAGCACTATCTCAACCAGATCCAAAGATACACACCTTCAAAGTAGAAAATTGAGCAAAACGTGGTTCATTAAATCATGTTTTTTTAAAAATATACTTAAGATAGAATTACAAATTAGATATTTTTGAGTGTTAATATTCTCTATAAATGTTTATTTTTATTTTATATTAATTAAAATCTCAATAGCCATTTTTGTTTTTCTAATTTTAATTGAAATTTTTATAAATAAAAATATTATATATACATAGCGTTATCTTAAAAAATTATTATAATATAATAAAGTTAATAAAAATATGGAATGTATTGTTGTTAAAATAAAGTATTTACTATCATTATTATCTGATGACTTGTGGGGTGAAAAGGATGTGGTGGTCCATGGGTATGTAAAAAAAAATATATATCCTCAGTAATTTTATTCTTTTTTGGTGCTATGGCTAATCACCAAAAAATCGTCATAAACATATATTTCGAAAAAAGACCGGTACAGACCGTGGTCCTAAATGAAAGACCAATCATAGGTAAAGGATTTTTGGTATATATTATTGTCCATAGATTAATTTATGTTTAATCTATCCAAATTTCAATCGGCTGGACTATTTTGGAATCTGAGCCATGCATTAATTTTTTTTTAGCTCTGATCAAAGATTTTTTAAAATAAATATGTTTAATCAACAATTATTTAAAAAATTAAAAATTTTATCAGTTTATTTATTTTTTACCTTTCTCTCAATTTATTTATAAATCGATAAATAGGAAATTTAATTATCAATCAATGATTGAAACGAACAAAAGGTTAAATAAATATTTCTTAATCCTTGGAGGAACATTAAAATGATTGGCAGCACGTTCAAGCCTTCAGTGTACCAGTTTTGGACACTTTTAAAAGAACAATACAATTTAAAGAAATCAATAAGATAAAGATTCAATTTAGCTCGCCCCATTCCAGAAACTCGGGGAATACATGTTGTATTTCCTTTGAGTTTAATTACCTAAATCATAAATAAATTAACATGCAGAGGCCTTTAAAAATAACATAATCTCAAAAGCCTATAGTTTGCTTTTTGTCAATATCAGAGGATTCGTAACATGTGTTTATGATGATTTTTGGTGGTTAGCCATAGTATTAAAAAAGAGTGAAATTATTTAGGAGATATATATTTCCTTTTTATATGCCCATGAACCATCACCATCCTTCTTTTACCCCACAATTGACGATAGCATATGCTTGTTTCATTAGTCAAATAATAACGATAGTAGATTCCATAACAGTAACAGGACGTACCTACAAATTATCGCATCACGGAATTCTATTAATATACCCTAAAGTGGAATTAAATAAAAACAAGAATATTTTTTTTTAATAGTTTGCTTATAAAATTTTTAAATATGTTTATTTTAAAATAGCGTCTTAACATATCCGTGTGAGATGTTTGCTTACATATTGCCCCAGGACATCATATTGGTTATACTCAATCGATTTTTTAAAATTTAATCTTTATCATTATCAAAGACCTTTTTCGCTATATAATCTATCTATTACTCCTTAAAGTATTTTGTTTCTCTGGAAAAGGAAAAAAAAAACCTTTGTTATGTGGTGTTCGTTGCTGGATAGTCATAAACCTATTACTGACTAGTTTTTGCCTATTCACTGGAATTTTCACCTATTTAAACAATTTGCGGTAAACCCATTATCTTTTTCTTATTTTCATGAATAAATTCTAATCTCAATTGATATGAACACATTCTCAATTATTGATAGTAATTATCAAGGCTTACATTAGATGTTAAACTTAAAATTAGCCACCACCCACCCTTAAAGTAATTAAATTATTTTTGCAGTTCTAAAGGCTTTTGTTTTGTCCATTTCTTTTTGTTTATTAGCCTATAGACGTTTAAGCAACAGTTCTCGGACTGTTGCGCGTACAAGTACGTACGGCTTGCCCACAAACGTGTGAAGGGCTCCTCATTTTTCTCCCCTTAATTAACTATCCAGTTTGATGGATTTTTGAGGAAAACCTAGCGTAGCTCTGTTGTATCCACAACCAGAAGGCGAAAACGCTTTTATCACGTATCAAGTAAATATGTTATATTATAATAATTTTTAAATATAACGCCATCTATTTATCTTTTTTATTTATAAAATAAAATTTAAAAAACAAAAATGACTATCGAGATTTTTTATTAAATAGTTTGATAAAAACATTTTTAGAGAATATCAACACTTCCAAAAATTCCCTTCTTAATAATGTTAATTTTTTATTCTTGCCGGAAATGAGATAATACATGGAATTTTTTAATTTTTTTTCGATATTTTCCAAAGTAAAATTTAAAGGCCATAAAATGATATATAATTTGAAAAACCAAGATTTAATGATTGCGCGATTTTCAATATTGAAGGCGTATATCTTTTAATCTGGTTGAGCTATCGCTCTAAAATTGTCATTTTATTTATATTTACAACACAAATAACTAACATGTCAACTTTCATTTATTTTTGAGATAGTAGTTCGAATCACAGGTCGATTAGTCATGGAATTACCCTAGTGTTAAACTGCTTGATTTAGCTAATTTAAAAACGGTTAGCTCAAAGTATTACCAAAATTAGACAAGCCTGGAAATTTTTCTTGCAGATAACAGAAAGGTTTGGACATTGGCAAAATTTTGAAGTTTAAGTATAATATTTTAGTGAAAATCTTGATTTTGCTTTAAAAATGGAATAAATAAAACTCTTTAACACAAACCATAAACATTGTCCGTATTTTGAATATGATGATTAATTTCGGAAAATAAAACGAATATACTTAAATCATTCCTGAGAGTTATTGAGTTTTTTTGAATAATATTAATTATTCTAATACATTGGTAAAACAGATAGTAAATTTAAATCAATGTATATAATGGATTGATATTGGTTATATAGTAATATCGAAAAATATTTTGGATCCGTGAATAAGATACAGATCAGCACAGCCCTAGCTATACTTATAGCTCTTTCAAGATTATAAGAACTTTAACTCTTCCAATGAATATAGTATTAAATAGGTAATAAGCTACCCTACATCAAATATATTAGACTACTGATGATCTTTTATTTGTATAGATTTTAAAATTTGAATAAATATAAAACCACTTAATTTAAAAGAAATATTTATTTTTTAATTAAGTATTGTCCACTCATCAAAAAAATAATAAAATATCTATTTTAGTTTATTAAAACATTATAGTTCTTTATATTTATTTTATTAAAATAAATCTTGGTAGAAAGTAAGGTATCAAGAACCAATTTAGACTACAGAGACCAATTTTTCTAAAAAATTCTGCTTAAAATTTTTTGTAACAAATAAATCTAGAGAGAGAGATCTATATTTTTAAAAAAAAAATTCAAAAACGTTATCCCATTAATCAGGATTTTGATTAGTGTGAATGAAAGTCAATTATTAACAAAGAATGATACTCTCTTTATAATATTTATATTATATTAAAATCATAAATAAAGTTGTTCTTTAAATTTTTAAGATCTGGAACCTGATTTTGTCAGATTCATGTTTGGAAGTATCTCAGTTAGAGAAAATCGGGATCCAACCTATCTCTGAGGCTAACTTTAATATATAGGATAAAATATTTATTTCTATATTTTATTTTAATTTGCTACAGTGATCATATTTTATATTACAATGACAAAAAAAATGATTATTAAAAATTTGTAGTGAGAACCATCTCTTAATTATATCCTCCATACTATGCTAGCCATATAATATTTTTAGCAATTCTAATTATATTGTAATAGAAAATTTAATAATGAACACTTTATTTTTATAAGTATATACAAAATATCTTTAGAAATATTTAATAGAAAATGCTCTGAAAAAAATTAGGTTATAAAAATTTTTCATAATTTTTAAAAATTTTTTACAAATGGATGACTAACTTTTTAATGGCTCGCCATTTCTATATTGAATGAACGTAATAGTTTCCAAACCCCACATTATTAATAATAAAAATCTGTTTTAAATTTAAAAAAAAAACTAAGCCTTTTCACACAATCAATAATTATAAAAAGGAGACTTTCATCAAAAAATTTATTATACCTTTATAAAATATAGTTTTATAGATGCAGGGATATATGATCCTTATTTTACCAATGCCATACTCATGGGATATAATATTTTAGTGCAAAATTGCATCGAAAATTTATTCAATCAACTTTTATATTAGAGAGTTGAATAATGGGTTTATGGTATTGACAAAAAAGTATTGGACGATACTCGGTATGGGTGCATTTTGGTTAAATTTTTTTTTTAACATAAAGTTATTAATCGTTATTTTTATAACGCAATTAAATCATATTTACATAATATTAATTCCTATTAAAGTTGAATTCATTGACGTTGCGAGCAATTATCATTTCGACATGCTAAAAAGATTACGATTAAATATAAAAAATTTAGGCAGGTTGGAGTTTACCATACAGAAAATATAGAAGAAATAAGTTCCCTTTGCCTCGGAACGTGTTCCTAAAAAAAATTATTATATATTTTATTCATTTATCAATAATACGAATTCATATAATATTCTCCAAATTTCGTGTTAACATAATTTTGAGTGTCGAAAAAAAATATTTTAACTAATTCGATAACAAAATTATCAAGGGTATGACTAGTTTTATTAATTAGTTGGTTGTGTAAAACCTAGACCCGGGTTTTGGGTCTAAAAATTGACTAAACCAGCTATGAGCACAGGCCTGGGGTCCAGACTCTATGTTCAGATAAATAATGTTATTTCAAATAGTTCAAATAAAAATTATTTACCAAAAGTAAAGATGCAGCAAAACGGAATGGCGTTTTCTGGGGTAGGTAGTAAAGCCCTGCAAACAACTCGGCTTCGAAATTTTTTTTTTAATTGGATCAACCTAGGGCTTCTAAATATCAAAAAATAATAGGATTAAAATGAGTTATTATGTTGTTTAGCCGAACGATTATTTCCAGCTATACGACTTTTGCAACGATTCGAAACATCACTTTTTTTTCTAAATAAAGTATAAATTAAAATTTTTCTACAAGGACAATTAGTATTACATTTAACTTTATGCAAAAATTAAAATGCTTTTTATTTATATTTTTAAATTTAAAAATTTTCGGACTCAGGGATTAAAGGAAGATGTTTGCCTGGATAGATCTTTCAAAAATATTCTTTGAAGATATTTTATACAAATCTTAGAACAAGATTCCAACTTTTTAGCGATTTAGAACTTATTTCTTACCATGTAATATGTATTTTTAATATATTTCATTTTTTAAAAAATTTTAAATATAAAGATAAACAAAAATACTGAATTTAATTTATTTACTCTTTTGTTTTATATGTATGGCACCCGTATCAGGTCAATTCAGCGAAACTTTTATCGCGAATGTCGTTTATCGCGAAAAGTTATTATAGCAAAGGTAAAATCGCGAAACCAATTCTGCGAATTTATCTCCGCGAAACATTTATAGCGAAGACAATTTCGCGAAGCCATTGGCGCGAATTTATTTCCGCGAAACCTTAACCGCGAATTTATTAAAGCGAATACATTTTAGAGAAATATTTTACGCGAACACTTTACAGCGAATTTTTTATCGCGAATATATTTGGAAGTCATTATTGCGAGCGCATTACCGCGAAACAATAAATATATTGCGAATGCATTTATTTAAAAGAAAACAACATATTATTTATTTTTGATGTTTTTTAATAAAAAATGATATGCTACCATTGTAATATTATTTTTGTTACAATTTATTAGTGATTTTCACGCCCAAGATTTTAAGTAAAAAATATTTCTTGAAGTTTAAAAAGATTTTTAAACATATTTTGATAAAAATTTTAAATCTTCTTTGTAAATATATTTTTTTTGAGGAATTCTTTTGTGAAATTTATTATAAATATACAATTTTAAGTGAAATCTTTTATGGTTTTTTTTATCATTTTTGTAAAATTATCTATTTCTTAAATATATTAAAAGAGCTGGGTTTTCTAAATAATTTTTTAAAAAATATTTATATTCAACTTATTTATGTTATTTTATATGATCTTTTTAAGGAAAATAATTTAATGTGACAATTGTCATATTCGTTATTTCTTAAGATTTTTGAAATTTATTGACTCAAAAGGGTAAATATATCATTTATATTGTAAAGATGTTAAATTATAAATTCAATGAAGATGTTTCTTGGAAATATGGCAATTATCATAATCGGTATTTTTAAACATATTATATTTTTTTTAATGCTAATGGGCAAAAATATGTATTTTTAACATGTTAAATTATAATTTCAATTAGGATGTACCATATAAAAGCGACAATTGTCATAATCATTATTTTTAAAGTTTTTTTACAATTTTTTGACGTAAATGGGCAAAAATATAAGTTGTTACATGTTAAAATAAAATTTCAGTGAAGATGTACCATAAATATAAGTTACAATTGTCATAATCGTTGTTTATAAAGTTTTTTGAATTTTTTTGTTGCAAATGGGTAAATAAAAATATTGTAAACATGCTTAATTAAAATTTCATGAAGATCTACCATTGAAAAGTGACAATTGTCATAATCGTTGTTTATTTGAATTTTTTTGTTGCAAATGGGTAAAAATATAGATTGTAAACATGGTAAATTAAAATTTCATGAAGATCCTATAAAATTCATTCGCGATAAACGACTTTCGCGAAAAAGTGTTTCGCGATAAAAGTTTCGCTGAATTAACATGGAACCTATGGCACCACATATATAGAAAATAATAATTAAATAAAATTATTATATTAGATCTATTTAATTTTTATAATTATAGATTAAGAAAAATTATTTTTGTTTTTATATACGAGGATGTGTGGGGGGGGGGGGTAGTAGGGATAATTATTTTATGTTTTTTTATATTATTTTTTTTACCCCTTTACTCGATGATAATATTCGGAATTAAAATTTCTTTATTGCCTTTATATAAACTAAATTATCCTAAAAGAATAATTAACATAAAAATATGATAAATAAAAATGAACGTAAACTCAAAGGATAACGTTATGACTAAATACTTTCAAAAACATTTCTTTAAATATATTTAATTCAATTTTGTTTAATATTTGGAAAAATATATTACTCTTGTACAACTCAAATTTTATTAAATATTTGGAAAAATATATTACTCTTGTACAACTCAAATTTTATTTTTCAATTTTAAAATTTAATAAATATATATCCAAAAGAGGGCATTAAATGCATATATATATATATATATATATGAAATATCATTTTGGGAAACCCAGGATTTCGATTTTGACAAAATTTTCTTGTGGCTTTTATCCACTTGGTTGGTTCGCATTTTTTGTATTTGGGTGTAGATACATGTGAAAAACCTAAAAATTAAAAAAAAATGATAGGTTTCTTTGACATTTAGTTTATGATTAGGTTTAGGTAGGTTTAGAATCGAAAAATAATAGCAAACTTGTAAGGCACATATTGCTGGCGTTATTGATCAAAATCTTTTCATTTGTGTTTTCGATGCTTATATTTACATGTAAAACATCCTAAATAATATTTTAAAAATATAGTAATTTGATCGATTGCTGAACTCAAAACCGGCCGCTTACTAAATATTAGATTTACCAAATTTGCTAGTAATATAAATAAAAATGTTTATTTTTGTTTATATATCTATAAATACGTGTAAAACATTATCCCAAATTTTTTTTAGAAATACTGATAACCGAATCGTAATCGACCCAATGTCTAAATATTGTTTTGCTGGCATTATCCAAGGAAAAATCTTCATTTTTGCTTTATACGCATATATTTATGTCTATTATATATCATTAAAAATATTCAAATAAATAAAGATAATTTTATTAAATCAGTCAATCTAAAATATATTTGATTCTAATTATAGCAAACGAGCGAATAAATAAATATTATTAAATGAGGGTAAGATATTTATTATTTTACGATTTCATTACTATTTTATAACTTCTATAAGTTTAAAAACAATTAGAATTTTTTAAAAAATATTTTGTCATTATCAGTAAATAAAAGTGAAAGTTTACAAAAAAATATTTTTTAATTGATATTACTAGCAATTTTGGTCAATTTTATAATTAGTAAAGGATCGGTTTTAAGTAAGGCAATCGGTCAAATCATAATATTTTTTGGAATAATGCTTAACACGTAAATGTAAGCATAGAAAGCAAAAATGAAGATTTTAAGTGTTTTAATAACATTTTTCAAATCATTGACATTTATTTCACATCATTTTGGTTAGTGTCGTTAAACTGCTGATTTTGAGCCTATTTTTAAAAAAAATATTATGTAAGCCTTAAGATATTGCTCATAGGAGCACAAAGGCTTGAACATCTATTAACCAAATCTCGAGGCTTAAGTCAATATTTTTCTGGCTAAAATATTGAGTCAGCCGTTTTTAAAAATCAAATTGAGCCGTTTAACAGCACTAATTTTGGTAGAATCGTTTCTACCTTCTTTATTCGTTTGACAATTTGCATATACATTCGAGTTATGATATTTGAAGAAACAACCGAAGTGAGCATGCTTGAGTTAAGAATTATATAGCAACGATAGGATTTGATTTTTTTAAAAATGCCACTTTCTGAGAACGGGCTTGAAATCATTTTTTATTTCTATGTAATTTTCTTACTACGTCTAGAAACTGAAAGATTTGACAGCATAATTTATTTTATGGGCTGAATTGAAAGATATTCAATCGCTGTTTATCTGAATAATTTTAATGGCAATCATGAGATCTAATAAAAGATTATCATAAATATTTCTATGCCTTTGTTGAAATAAAGTTAGGCCAAGAGAATAATTTCAATTGGAAATATTGGTACTGTATTAAAAATAGGAAATTTTTATATCGCAAAAAATTTATAAGGATTGTTTTTACTGTATCATGCAATGACAGAGAATGCCAGATTTTAGAGAAAAATATATTAGTATTACAATAAAATAATAATAAAATGTTATTCTTATCAACGAAAAATAATCTATTTATCTTAAATAAATGTTTGGGCAGTAGTTATCATTTGAGCAGATTCTCGTTGATCAATATTTTATAGTTATTCTCTGATATATATTATCAGCGCAAGAGAATAAATCTGATGTTTTTTATAGAACCCATTGGTAAACGAATTTAAACCTAATATATTTCTTTTATTTAATCATCTTATTTTATTTTAGAATCATGATTGGTATTTTTTTTCAGTTTCAATTGCTAACAATATCTAAATTTAGAAAATAAACATCGCAATAGTTTATTAAATAATATTTTAAAAATAAGTAACAAAGATTACCTGTTTAAGGTATTAATAGACATTATAAATAGTTGATTACCTTATTTGACGGTGGATATTTTTTAATTCTTTCGTCATGTAATTCTAGTAAATTATCTTATTGAATTTCAAATAATATAACAACTTTATTTATATAATACAAAAAAGTAAAATGTTAAAGAATATTATTATTTAGATCCGTATAATATTGTCCATTAAATTTTTTAAATAAGAAAAATAATTTCCAAGCAGCTTCTGTTCCTAGACTATTCAGCTTAGGATCGAGTAATCCAAATGTAGAGAATACCCGTTCCGCAGAAGGAGTAGACGAAGAAGCTGTAAATAATTGTTTAACTATTTTTATAATACTTTTGTTTTCGAATATATTTTCTTGAGATATCCACCAGTCGAGTGGCGTCACATCATCTAAAATTGCTCGACAAAACATAATCTTTTTGAAAGGTTCCGATTTAGCTTGAAATTGTATTATGATTGGCAGAATATTGGAATTTGAAAAAGTTTCTGCAGCATACTCCAATGCCATTTCTCTTTCGTCGTTAGTTAAATTTAACGTGTATTTTGGATTTAAAATATATGCTAAAAAATGAGCCGGGGTTAAGGCTTGTTTGTATCGTTTATTGAAAATAGAGATATTTTTGCTATCAATTTTATTATCCTCATATAATTTGTTGAAATAATTTCGAAGATTTTTCCAGTTGTTTACCGAATCGGATATGTTTGACATATTTTTTCCCAAAGTTTTGAAAATATGCGAAATGGGTTCAGGCATTTCTACTCGGCTGTTTACGTTTTCCATTTCTTGTGATAAAAGGTGGAGTAGATGTACGCTGCATCCATATGTTATTATATTATTTCCATCGTTGGTTTTAAAACTATCTCGCATTATAATCATATCAGCTTTATCTATGACAAAACTGGTCACCGTTAAATTATAATCATTATAACAATTATCTATAAGTTTTTGAGATATTTCAATGAGATATTCTTCAGTGAGAGGGTGATCTGTAGTATCTATAGTTTTTAATAAATAAACATCTCCCTCATCCGAAGTGATAGTGGCATAAATAATGGGTTCTTGATGGGCAGTTGACCAACCATTAATAGCCAAGCAACCTGTTTTACCTGTCAAGTTATTAAAATAAGATACCTTCTCTTCATCATATATTTTGTTTAGGAGTTCCTCGGCAATATTCTTTCTCGAGGGTGGTTCATATCCTGGTCGAAGCATATGAATCGTTTTTATGAATTCGGGGTGTTCAACGCACTTAATAGATGAGTTGGTAGCATAAATTGCCTTTGCTATTTGTTTGTCAATTTCTTCTTTTTTGTTTTTGTCATTAATACCATTTTTTATGTCGTTTTTATTTATTTTTTGTTTTTTTAATACGATTATGGGCATGGAAGGACCCAATGGAAAAGTAGCTTGAGACGCGAAATTTTTGCTTTCTAAGTAGTATATTTTTGAAATAAAAATATATCATAAATTTTTTTATACCAATTGATGTTGAGACTAAATTTTCATATAGCATTTCTATCCCTTCTTGAGGATTTGTACATTTTTGTTTGTGATTTTTTAACCTTTCCACTAAGCCTTGCATTTCATGTTTACACTTTTTACAAATAGCCCTTGTACCGGTTTTATCGCGAATATGTTTAATTTCATCGTAGTACCTCCATATAGGGTCTTTTTTCCTACCAGATGGCATCCTATTGTTTTATATAAGAATTTAAATCAAATATTTTGGAAGAATCATGAAATAAACCTTTATACATTTTTCTTTTCAAAAATTAAAATGTTAATGCGCATGTTCATAAATTTCATTATTACGATAGCAATGAACGCAATTTTAAATTGATATTTTATAGTAAATTAGTAAATTTATATTTTATTTATTTTTAAATTTAATTATTTGATTTAAATAAATAAAATCGCTATTTAGATCATAAAAAATCGATTAAAAAATATATGAAAAATATCGATTTATTTGATTTTTATAAAAGTCCTTTTTTGTCGGCATAAAAATATATATTGAAATATATACACAAAAATAGAATGAGAATAGGATTGACTAGTTATAGTTATTCAAACAAAACATTACAATTTGTATTACGTTTTATTTTAGGTTTAACTAATTATAAATTTTAAATCGCTAAAGAAAATTTGCTTATTCCAAAAACTTTTTAAATATAAAAACATTTCCAAATTTTTTTCTAGAAAATTTTAGATTTAATGTCACGATTTAATTAAAATTTTTGAAAGCTTTGTGCGAATTTTTGGACGCAACTTTAAAAAATTGCATTAAATTCCCAAAATATACGAATAAATAATATTCTAGGCACATTAAATTTTTTAATCAAATTTTCACATAAAAAATATGTTATAACTTGTATAACAAAAATTTTAAAAGGGAACACTTCCCTAAAACCCTAGAATTTTTTCTATTAACTAGTGTAGAAGCGCACTTTGAATTTGCTTATTTTTTTGTGGTTGGGGGGATATTGATTTAAGAATTAATAAAGATACTATAAGCGTAAACAGGTATTTTTAAAATCTATATTGTTCGTCTGGTATGATGCCTACCACTATTTTTTTTAATCTTTAAACCATCTTAAGTAATAAAATGTTCTAATTAAGCAGAATTGATGTTTTCGAATTGGCCATTTCACTCGTAAAGTATTACATCATAGTTTTCATTTTTTATAGTTTCTTTTTTTGTGGTTCACAAAACTGATTTAGGAATTAATATGTACTAATAAGCCATTAAAATAAGCGCAAACCAGATATTTAGTTCTTCTATATTTTTCATTCTGTTATGATGCCATCTTACTATTTTGCTAATAATTTTATCTTACTGTAAAATTAAAATAATATACAATTAAGCACTAAACATTGATAAAGAATACATGATTTCAATAGCATTTTAATTATAACGTTATCCAAGTTATTGCTCCTAATAATTTTTCTTTTATATATAAGCAGGCAAATAATAAAGCATTAGCATAAATTTTAGTATTAGCCCTTTCCACAGCCAACTTTAATAGAGTGATTTAAACATATTGAGTATGTTAAAAAAGCAAAATAAAAATAATCACATTAAAATCAAAAATACATATCATAAACAGGCTCTAAATTTTAAATCTTAGCTATGCTACTGAAATCAATTGATTAAAATCTTATAATGTAATTAATTTACTTTTTGCTTATATTTTAAGTAATCATTTCTTAAAATGTAAAGATTGCATAAAAATAATGATGATTGTCAAAAAAAATTTTATAAAAAATTATCTAAATTTATGATATCTAATTGATAATGAAATATTAGTTTGAACATAAAGCAATTAAATACCATTTGTAATTTAAATCTATCTTTATTTAATATTTTAACATTCAATGTTATTTATTTAACATGTTCACATTTTAAATGAATGAATTTTTGCTATATATAGTTCAATTTATTAATTTTTTAATAATTATAAATCTTTTTGTAACAATTAAGAAATTATTGTTTTCTTATATTTAATTTTATTATTTTTAAGAATATGATAAAAATTTAATGCTAAATTAATCAAACTAATTATTTGTTATTAAAAATTTATTTTACACTCAAAATATATTAAAAATATTATAAATGAACAATTATTTAAATATTAATAAAATTATATTTGTACTTAAAAAATTAATTTTGGATAATGGCTGTTTAATCTGGCCAAATTAATGGATATTTATTATGATTTTGCAAAAGTATATTCCCAGGGCATATTTTTTAAAATTTTTTACCTTATATTAAATTTATAAAATTTTGATTTAAATCAATTTTTTGTTTTCATAAAAAAGATATTATTTTGGACAATACTAAATACATATATGGCATTTATGTTATGTCATCTTATATAAACTTCCATTTTTCTTTATAAATTCACACATTTCTAATTTTTATAATAAAACCAAACAAAATCATACTTTATAACATACAACAATTTATTCTCTTAATAAAAATGTACATTGTAATTTTTTAGCTTCTTATTAGTTTATAAAATCTATTTCAAATTGAATCTTTATGTAAATAATTTAAAAATTTTAATAGCATACTTTTTCTTATAGCTATAATATTCATTGTTTAAATTTATTATAATTAATATAATAATTTCAATCTACATTATTTAATAAATATTGATATTAGATATATTAATCAATATAAGATATACATATTTTTATATATAAATAATAAATTAATATTTATTATCATAGAATTAATGGTGCTCAATCATTAAATTTATTATAAATAGGTAAATGTATATATAATATTGATAATATAATAGGTATAAACTTAGAAAGTACTTGTGTTTATCAATAAAACTGGATGTAAATATATGTAATATAATTAAATGAATGTATGTTCAAAAAATTACTTTTACTCTATGAGTATATATGCTCCAGTCTTAGGGCAAACTTTTTTAATATGATTTTTACATTAATTTAAAAAATTATTAACATTTTGATATAAATCAAAAAAATCTTGATTAAAATCATTTTTTAAAAATCATGATTTATGCTAACCCTATACATTTCTTACTTTTAATTTTTCTCTCAATTAATAAACATAAGCATTGGGCATCATGATTATTTAAAAGTTTTTAAAAATGTTAACATTTTCATTATATATTTAAGGATGCAATTTTTATTGATTATACAAACAATTTTGCGTATGATAGTATCATATAATAATCATTGTTATTAAAATCCTCAATTATTTACAAAAAAATTTAAAATTATGTTTTAAATGGATTTTATAAACTAACATGAAGCTAAAAAGAGTAGTGCACATTTTTAGGGATGCAATTCTTGATGATATAAATAAAAACTTCTGAATGTTAGTGGATGGTATAATATTGTTACATTCATATAAATACTATGAATAGTATAAAATAATAAGATATCACTTTAGGTATGCAATTTATTAAACTTTTTATTTCCATTTTATAAAAAATAATACAATTTTATATTTTTTATTGTTTATTTTTTAGACACTATTCTTAACATATTTATCGTAAATAAAAATATTAATAATTTAGAATCACCATTAAGTCATTTTTATTAAAATGAAGATTATCACTAAACTTTTAAACATCAACTAAATTTGGAAATTTTTATAAATCATATTAATAAATTTAAATTTAATAAAGATTTTTTTTAATAAGCATATTTTACCATCAAAGATTTTTTTAAATGAAGAAGAGAATTCTCAAACAAGTTTTTTTAAATCAATTTTTAATGTTTTGTTATTTTTATGCATAAAGAATTTTCAATTTTGATCTTTAAAGATTTTATTTCTCAAATTTTGGGAATTTTTTTTTCAAACTCAGGAACTCTGGTATAAAAAAAAACTTAATTGAAAACCATATGAAATATGAATATATGAAAGGTCTCTAAGGTCAAATTTTCAAGCCTCCATCAGTTTTAATTTATTTTAAAGCCTGGTTCGATTTCATTTTTAAGCCTGAACCTCGCCCAAACGAATTTTTACAAAGTTAAATAAAATAAAAATCTTATTTATTTTTCATTATTCCCTTTTTATTTTAATAAGAGAAAACATTATTTTAAGCCTAAATTAAAATTATGAAGTATGAAAATGTTTGGGCAAAAATACCCTTAATTTTCCAAAAAAAAAATTAATTTTTTAAAAAATGATTTTGATTTTAATTAAGTAAAAAATTTCTTATTTGCTTTTTTTTTAAAATATAGTTTTAATTTGATATTGTTCATATTTATATTTAATTTTTTAAATTGAAACCGCTTTTTAAAATAAAATATTTACTATTTAAAAAAAAAGAAGAAAAATTGTTATTCTTCAAGCTATAATAACTTCAATTGTTTTTTTCAAACTCTAAATAAAAATAATATTTTTTTTAAATTTTAACTTCCTATTTTAAAAAAAAATTAATTAAATCGTTTAGCAAACTAAAACACGAAATATATCTGTTAGAAAATGATCAAGTTGATTACAAGCAAATGCAAGAGATGCTTAGCGAAATGGAATTGTGAGATGATTTATATTTTAACATTGCCTTTTTGATCATTATTTATGCAATTTAAATATTTGTTTATGATCTCCACTATATTCAGGCAAGAAAAACAATCTTCGCAGACATCATTTATCTCTCCCAAAAGTATTTTATTAAAATTAAGTTAACCTTTACGAATAAAAATAAATAAAATAATATTTTAGCTCCGGCAAGCGAACTCGATTCATCATTCAAGGTTACCGTAGCTGGTCCTCCATTTTCTAACACCATTATAAGTTAATTTTCTTTATAAAAATTTAAATAAAGCACTAGGGTTAGAAAATCATGATTTTTTTTAAAATTAAAATTATATAGAGTACATTTGATAAAATGAAATGTTACAACCATGCTTCTCATTAAAAAATACAAAAAATATTTAAATACCTTGAGCCGACAGAGAAATGAAATAGGAAATTGATAAACTGTCAGCTTAGATGTAATTTATTCCATTCATTGAAAACTCTTTATTTCTTGAAAATTTGTTGATTCGGCTATATTTAAATTATTTTTTTGAAAGATGAAATAGGTCTTAGAATTAAATTTCGCAAAAAAAACTGTTTATAAGCTGTATGATATTTTAGGCGCGGTCCTTATTTTCAAATTTACTTTTATTTTCAAGCCCTCCCAGTCACAGATTTTTTTGTCCGCTAGGATTTTATTTTTGATAATTTCACAGTTCGCCCTAGAAATTTAAAAAAAATGTTTATTTTGATAGGATTTTGAAAATTGTTTCTAAAGGAAATTGAAAATATAAGCAGTAAATTTTTCCGCTCGTTAGTCGGGCCTCATGCCACTGATATTTAGTCTATTTGCATTTCCCCCCCCCCCCATTACACATTTTATGCTTATTCACCAATTCAAAAAAATAATTATACATGTTATTAGATGATGCGAATATAACAAAAAACTTGCAAGATAATACCTCAGTCGATAAAATAGAAAACTCCCATGATCGTCAGGAATCATCCGAGATTATCTTAGAAGATGAAAAAGTTCTAAAGGCCGAATCCATCGAACCATTAGACGATGGCTTAGAAGAGATGGAAGAAGATGACGATATAGGAATGAGCGAAAACATATTAAATGCCTTAAACAAAGTCGAACAAGACGTTGAAATGCAACAAAAATTGATACTGTCTCAGGGAAAAATTTCTCAGCCAGTGCATTTGAATCAATTGGATATACATGATTTAGGTCATGTAGATTTGCAAGGTTTATCAGGTAATGATTTATTGAAAGACAGAAGTATCGAAAAAACGATTATAAAACCAGGCACTACGCAAATAGAAGACGAGGTTGAAATTAGACTAACGGAAATCAATCTAGAGGAAACAGACCAGTTGGATGGACAATTAAAAAAAGACGACAATGTTGCCATCTTGGTTGGATCATCTGTGACGACTAAATCTTTCGATAGCAGTGTTCTTACCAAGAATTATGTTTTTTTATTGTCGATTATGCATTTTTTTTAGAAAATGAATTTTTTTTGGGTTATCTACTAAACCTCTCTTTGTTTTATTTATATATAAGGAATTTATTTTAAATTAAGTATTATATGTAAATATATTTAAAATTAAGAAAAAAATTCACATTTATTTATTAATTTATTAAAAATTAATTTTAAAAAAATCCTTATTGTTTAAAAACTTAAGACCCTATCACAATCATCGAATATGCCTAATGACATTACTATTCAATCTCCTATATTGCAAGAAATACAACCTTCATCTACCATCGACGAGATTGATATTAAAATCCAATCATCAAATTTACTTGAAACAAAAGACGATTTAATTTTGTTGCCATCTAATATCGAACAGAACATATTGGAGAAAGAGGATGCTGTTAGAAGTTCTAAAAAATTCGTTGTACCTACACCTAACAAAAGTATGGAATTGAGTTTAATTGTTTTAAAAATTACTTTATAAATGTAAATTTAATTTTTCTTAACCCTGTCTGAAAATTGAATAAAAAATATGTCATTTCATTCAACCGATACAGGGTTGTTAAACCCGGGCATGGATTCCCAGGAATATTCCCTTATTGAATGGGAAAGTGGATATTCCCGAAATTTCCAATTTTTTAAATATTTTAAAATCATTAAAAATAAGCAAACCTATTTTCATTTGCAATACTTTGGGTGTGCTGCATAGAAAGACTAAAACGTTAATAAAAGAAATTAAAGTCAACCATTACATTTCTGCATAACTAAAAAAAACAAGATAATAATTATCCAACACTATTGCCAAATCCAATACGATACGATGTTGCAGTAATAATGATAAAGATGTTATATAAAAATCAAGAAATTTTACCAGAAATGACAATCCATTTTTTTCTGGACGATGATAATTTTTGGGGGAAAAATAAAGAAGATATTAGAAATTATTGGACCAATATATGCTAAATATTACTACTTGAATCTGACAAAGCAACACTTTCTGAAATACCTGAATGTTTAATATTAAAAAATCTGTTGATTATTTAGGATAACCTTGATGATATTGAGATTGGTCATGTGATCTCAATAATAAAACATTTTTCTGATTTTTTAAAATTAGATGCTGGTTTGATTATTAGAAACTTAGGAGAAGCTCTGTAATTTAGGAAGTGAGATATCTTACTCCAATACATGATGGAAAGGGTTCCTGTACAACCCAATCATTATCCACAATTCCCTTAAGAATTTTATCTATTACTTCTACTAGTGCTTCATCAGAACGTATATGGTCATTTTTTCGGAAGCACACACTATAACTCTAATAAACAAGAAATAAGTTCGGAAATAAAAAGGTAAAAATGTTGGTAACAATTCGACATAATTTATACTTAATAAATCAGCAATTGTTTTCAAATACTCAATCTCGCAACAATAGACTTTTGGAAGAAAATAGTTCATTAGAAATTGAAATAACAGAATGATAATGTTGTTGAAAGGGTTGATGATAGTACGAGATGTTCTTATTATACTTATTTGCACTATAATTTATCTGTTGCTACTTGAATATAATAAGGCCCAAGATGACGTGGATATAAAGATAGCGGTGGATATGTGAAAAATGAATCTTATAAGTGTTGATGCTCAGGACTGTCAAAAATGGAAAATAAAAATCAGAAGGGAAGCTGGCCAACCTGGGTAAACCTGGAAATCGCCATTAAACGGCGAAGACTTGAATAATAATAAATTTAAAATTGTGGTTATTTAAGCAATATCATTGATTCCTTGTTATTCCCAAAAATTCCATGGGAAAGTTACCGTTGCAATTCCAGGGAATTTTCCAACCCTAAACCGATATAACATATATTTATAGATGATCATTTTAAAAAATCATACAAGGCAAATTGTATGTGTATTTGCATTTTTCAAAAATTTACTTTTATATTTATGATCCATATAATATAAATGTTTTCGTATTTTCAATCATATACTAACTCTATTTTGAATGGTAGAAAAACAACTAAAACGAATTAAAACATAATCTAAACCTTATTGATTATTAAAATACATTAGATTTATTTTGTATTGAATACATTTTTTTAAAGGAGGAAGAAAGAAGAAACTGAAAATTGAACCTGAAATTTCACCGGATATCTTGAGTTTCGATGACTCAACTAATGTAATTATAAACTATATATAAATTATCATACAATATACACGAATAGAATAGGTTTTACTAATTTTTGCGCAAAAAAACTAATTTTTCGCTTATGTAGTTATAATCCGATTATAAAGTAGTCTTTCCTGGTAAAATGCCATTAATTGAACAAGTTATATCAATAAACCTTATTTAAGCAAATTTGACCTTGTTTAAAAATTTAATTCGCTTAACAAACGCGGATAAGGTTTATTTTTACGTTTTCGATGCAAATCGATTTCTAACTTACTATAATGATATTTATTCATATAAATTTTTTTTATTAACCAGGACAATTCAACTGTAGTTTCTGAAAAAGATGAGAAACTCAACGAAGACAAAATCAACACGGAATCTAATGATAGTGAAATAATATCTTTAGGTTTTTTAAAAATCTTTTTAATGCCATTTCCAAACCTGTTTTTTTGTTTTGTTTTAACTTTTAACGTATTTTATTAAGAATAAGATCCAACTTACCTATGGCTCTTATTTCTTTTTACAATTTTCTTACCAGTATGGTTGTAGTTGTAACAAAAAAACGTGTAAGAAAGAAATCAGGGTTGATATCCTAAAAAAATTTGTAAAAGACAATGATCTATATTTGTGAATCGAACTTTTAGAAATATTCTTTAGAGGCGATTTTCATGACAGAAAAATTAATGATACTACATCATAAATTTATACTTTTCCACCTAATTATAATACTAACCTAAAATAATTTTGGTAAAAAATAAAAACAAAATTTTTTACCGATTTTGATTATTGATTTGATTTATTTTAGTATTTTTAAATAGTCAGAATCAGATCAGATATCACTAAAACATATTTTTCATTGAAAGAGTATTTTAGGATGATATTAGGACAAGCCGATTCACGATATTTTACGATAATCGGTTTTGGGTAAATATTAAAAAATATCGGATCAGTGAAAAATAAAATTTATGAATAATTTAAAATATTTAAATATCAAAGATATTAAAAATTTGATTTACAGTACTATATTTTATTAATAAATAAACCAACATTTTTTAGACGCCAAATCCGAGGATTTATACATGGATTCGCAAGCAATGAAACCCGAAATAAATAAAGATTTAACATATAAAATTGATATTGAAGGTATGATTTTAATTTTTTCTTATTATTTTATGTGTATATCAAATAATTTGAGTTATTCCTTTTTATTTTACCCTTTTTTCTTTTTATATTAAAAATAAACTTTTATTAAATTTCTTATAAAAAGCAATATTTTAAATCCTATTTTTTATCAGTCTGCAAATGCAATTAGTGGGTTATCTGCAACCCTTCCCCCTCTTGTAATGTTTCAACCTCCCCGTCCATAGTTTATAAGTTGTCCTTTCACTCGCATATTGGTTTAAAATATCGCAATTGTTTGTCCGTTTGAATATTTATTTTAATTATACAATAATTTTGAAATAATAAATTAGTTTTTTGTAAATAGGACAGTCATACACTCCTTTCTTAAATATTTTAAATTACCCTTCCAGGCTGCTCATTATTATAGTTGGGTAATGGCTAAATGTCGGCTAATTCGGCTCAATCTTCAGTCGCCGGAGAAAATAAAAATTGGCTTAAATGGCTAAAAATATAGTAATTACCCACTATATTAAAATTTTTAAAGCCCATCTACCCTCACATAAATGAGTGGGCCAATTAGCGTCACTAGCCTTTACAATCTGATGCTGTTAAAACCTTTTTAATTGACATTACCTGAATTTTCTTTAGTTAATATTTACAAAATGACTTTTTCAGGGGGGCTCCTAGTGACGCTACTGGGGCGGGTAGTTTAAACCTACTAATACACACCTTGCTATTACTGAACAAGGTTTAACATTTGCTCAAAATTTAAAAATCTTCAATTTTTTTGATCTTCAAAGATTTTTTAAAACCTGTTACTGATTTTCACAGATATTTTTCTAAGACGATTTTTTGAGCGTTTTACATATTTTTCTGAGATTCATTTTTTAATATAAGCGTTTCAGTTTTATACAATTAATTTTTTTATGAGCAGAGCATTAAGAAATAATTCTGAACATTCATTATTTTTTTCTGAATATTTCAAGAAAAGAAAAGAATAGGAGCCAATGCTAAATATATATTAAATGATGATTATATGTTATTCATGACTTTATCATCCACCCTTTATATTAAATGACATAATCAACTATTTTTTTTAGAAGGAAGCCAATTTAATATATTCAAATAGGAATTTATATTTCAACATGATAATTTAGATTACTATTACATTACATTTTATTTTATTTTTATTATTAAGTATTCAAATATATCTATTCTATTTTACCTTTTCCAATAATATTTTGCTTCATTTTTTTCCAAAATTTTGCGTTGTTTAATAATGTAAAAGAGATTAAATAAATATAATAAATAATATGCCACTTTGCATTACCCTTCACTATATTTTTATGGTGGCAACAACCTTTGTCATCAATACTCTTTCTTTTTTTAACCGTAAGCCCGCACAAAATTTGTATCTCGATTGAAATTACTCTTCAAGACTTCTTTAGATCCAAAGGTAAATTCTTACAAAAAAACATTACCTTACAGTTCAAATAAACCCGGGGATAGCAATAATACTAAAAAAAATGTCGGCAGCGAAAATTTTGTTACAAACAGACCCCCTTTAGAACTCGATTTTATCAGGTATCACCTATTTTTAATAGAATATCTTCAGATTTTATTTGGAAAAATTAAGACTTACGATTTGCCAATCTAAATAAATCATTTTTTTAATTGGTTTATCTTTAGCCCATATTTAGAAAGCATTTATTATTAGGAATAAATTTAAGAGTATCTATTATCCCCATTTTAATGTTTTATTTTAAAAAAATCAACAACTATAATAATTGACTTTTAAACTAATAATTAAGTTTTTTTTAACCCTTCAATACTCCGGTGAAAAAAATGACGTTAGTACTCCGGTTGGGTTTAATAGACCCCAATTTCAAATGTATATATGTCCAGTTATATTCATTATTTTGATTTAATATTTGAATATAAGATAGAACTAACCTTAAACTTGATAAAATATTTATTTATTTTTATTTCTTAAGTTTAGATTAAAGATGGTGAGGATAATTATAATTTGTGCCAAAAATTGGAAATTAAAAATTAAAAAAATAACTTATTCATCATATAATCCTGATAATTCATAACATGGATCTTTATTCTTCAATATTAAAAAAAAATTACACTGATAAATTCAAATATAAAAAAAATATTGAACATTGAAATATGTTAAATTTGACAATCAAAACATTTGTTACATAAAATATTAATGTGTTCTAAACATAAATTTATTTTGCATATTTGACAAAAATATTTATTTCTAATGTGTGTTCCTTTGTCTACCACCTTTCTCTCTTCTCTTGTTAGTATGTCATCAAATCTCATTGCATGAATTAGAAATCTGAATCTTTTAAGAGGCATTGTTACTCTAAATATATCAATTTCAAACCCATCAGATTTCCATAAATCAGACATATTTTGATGGTTAGATTTAAAAATTCCAGCTAAATAAAGAATTCCCAATAATGCTTTGAATTCAGTTATATCAACTTCTTTTGTAGAACTTTCATATTGATTATAATTTTGACTTACAACTTTTTCCATTGAGTAACCTTATTTTTAGCTAATTTTAAAGAGAAATATACTATGATAAATGATTTTATATTTACCTAAATAATACTTAAGCTTATTATCTGTTACAGCTAATATATCTTCTTCTTCATCTAATTCAGATTGTGTATCATGATCACTATCATACATATAATCTTCATCCTCACTATTAATTATATTATCCAAATCACCTCAAAAAAAAATATTACATTTATATATTTTATATTTACTTTCAGAATCTGCAAAAATCATAGTAGATGATAGAAATAATTTAAAAAATGAGTTTGTTGGAGAAAATAAACATAAAATAACTCCACCAGAAAAAATATTTGTGTTTTCAATTTCATATATCTCATTCAAAATTTGTTATATTCAAATTTCGTTTTAATAAATTTTATAATATAGTGGTATATATTTATAATTATAAAAGTTTTAAAAAAAAAATTACGTATTTACTCCGGTGGGGTCTCACAAACTCCAAGCAGTCACAAAATGCTTATGTTAAAAACTACTCAACCAAAATATGTGAAATTTGGAATATAGATTCTAAGATATATTTGATGAAGCTACTGAAGAATCCAGATCATGATAATTAACCGTTTTTATGCAATATCTCCAGCATGCCTGGGGTTTCCTACACCCCACCGGAGTATTGAAGGGTTAAAATTATATTTTGTTATACTTATGATATAATTAAATTAATAAGCTTTTAATATCTATTAAAAAGGCTTGAAAAATAATCTTTATTCATTTTATTTAAAAAAAAATTATTTAAAAATGTTGACTAATTTAAACAGAAAATTAAAAAAACAAATCACTTTATATTACTTTATATTGTATAAAATAAAATTAAATTATTTTTTTGCGAAACCAGACCGGAACTAAGTACCCCTGAACACAAGATATGGAAAAAATCTATAATGCTCTTGCATAACCGGGTATGCAGTCATAACTGGTCGGATAATTTCTTCCACCCTATAACCGATGCCATAGCTCCTTTTTATTCCTCCATAGTGCATTATCCCATCGACCTGGGAACTCTTAAGAAATGGGTCGAGAATGGAACCATCAAAACGACACACGAATACAGGAGATGCATTATGCTAATGTTTCAGGTAATTTTTTTTAACCTTCTTTCGGATTCGTCTAGGAATTTAAATTAATATGATTAAAAACACCATAATATAAATAAAGTAAAAATTAATGAAACGATTATTGTTTAAAGATTATTCCATAAATAATTTAATACAGAAAACAAAATTAATATCAGCGTTTAACAGGAAACCCTATATTTAATTTAAGGCTTTGTTTTGCTCAATGCTGACTATAAAAAATCATTGTCGTTGTCCACATATTTTTTATAATTAAAATTTATTAAAAATTTTTAATATTTTTATTTTTTAAATGTCTTGCAAAATTTAATTAATTATTTTGGCATTTAAATAAAGATTAGGAAGGTATTGGTTTAATTTTGAATTATATATAAAGGCCTTGCTACAACAAAATCTATCGCTTATTTTGATGTGTTTTAAGGAAATTTTCGCTACTTTATTTTTTTAACAATTATTAAATATCTATTTATTTAATAATATAAGAATGCCTTAATGTACAACTCCGAAGATCACGTTATTTACAAAATGACGCAAGAAACCTACAAGGATGCTCTTAAAAACATTGACGAATATTTATCTGCCGCTTCTTCCTCGAATGTTAATATAAGCATCCCAATTATTTGATGCATCTAAAAAGATCCCAAAAAAACTTGATATTTATTATTATTTTATTGGTCCTTAGAATTAGCAGAAAGGTGTTAAATTTTTTTCAAATGAAGTGTTTAGAATAAAAACAATGATAGAGACTTGAGTTCATAGGATGCCTTTGATAAATCAACTAATTATTATTTACAATTAGATGGATAACTAGAAATATAATAATTTCTTGATTTTTTTCATTTAATTTCTTATAAAAATTAAACTATCACCTTAATTTAGTTTATTGTAAATTTAAATATTACCTATATTAATAAAAATACATGTTCAAGATTTGGAATTAAGTTTAGTAAAGTCTGATTCAAGTTTATTTAATGTTAAATTTTTATTAACTATTGAGTTTTAATAATACACTTTCTATCATATTTTTTATTATCAATCAAGAAACAAACAGATATATTTTTTAATATTAATAATATCGATAAATGGGATTGTATCTAAATATTATATATTTTTTAGTAAGAATAAATTATATTAATAAGAAAATAATTATATATTTATATTGTAAGTAATTTATATTTAAAGGACTATACAACATTACGAAATGATATCTAATAATTGTTCATAATTTTAGCACATTTAATATATGTAATAATACCTCTAACATTAATATTTCAAACAACATTTAATGTAGTTAATCGATTCTTTAAAACACAATCTAAACCTGCGATTCATGAAGCAGTAGGTGATAGGGTTTAAACAGCATGAAAGGTATGCTAGAAGGTGAATTATATAGGCATGTCGCGATAAATAATAGCCCGCGCCAAAGTAAAAGGATAAGGAATCATGAGTGACCCAGGTATTGATCAGATAAAGTGGAGTCCAGCATATAAAAAATTCCAAGACTATCACAATCAACATTCTGATAATCTTAAGAAGTTTTGTATCCATTATGTAGCCCGAATTATTGTTTGAGCCGTATGAATTTATGTGAGCCGATGGATTGGAGGATGAAACGCTAGAATTACTTTTCAATGAATGAATGTGCATTGTATTTTGTTGCCTTTTTCTAGATTTTCCTTTTTTAGGTGATGATCTAGGTTTCATTTTACCTTCGTAACTTATATTAAAAGATGTTATATCCCCATCTGACTTAAAATGGGAATATAATGGATACAAGATGCCAAATACGTTCTCATCAAAAAATACCTTGTCATAAATATTAGATTGCAATAAAGGTGTAACGGGTTTGTCACTCTCAATGAGTTTCCTATTTTGATTAGGTTCGGAGTTATGAGATATTGAAAGCAAAGTATCTTTGGATTTATTCAAATTTATAGTAACTGAATCATTGCCTTTGCCCTCACTTGGTATTTTCAAATTTTTAGGTTTTTTTCTGTATATATTTAAACCAACATTTAAATCTGTGAAGAAACTTTGGGAAACTTTTGGGGAAGGAGAATTTCTAATAAGAGTAGTATCTCGTCTATTAACTTTTGTTAAACAATATGCAAGGTTGTAATAAGCTATGGACATGAGTATTAGGGGTATTATGAATAAAAATATATTGATGAACCAATTAAAAATGATGGCTCTAGACGTATTGAACCACAGTTCTCTGCAAGCAATAGTCGATCGTTTGCTATATGGTTGTTTAATAACCTTCTTTGTGATATATGGACCATCAAAGTGGGAACGATTGGAGAGTAGGTAGAGCACTAATATTTCAAATTTCGAATCCATCACTGTTTGAGGCTGTGATTTAATTAGTGTATCCAATGAATTCGGTGAATTATTTATAAAAATCGTATTATTTCGATCATTACTGACAATCATTTCCTGAAGGTTGTAATAGTTAATATTCACCAAACGATTGATGTAAATTAGTGGACTCATGACCAATCCCGAGAAAATCCACACCATTATGTTAACTTTAAGTGCACGTTGAGTGGTCTGCCATTTTTTGGATTTGAGTGGGTGTTTAATAGCAAAATACCGTTCTAGAGATAACGCTACCAATGTCCACATGTTAGCACTCACAGAAGTAGCTATAAAAATTATTTTATTTTATATAAAAATATATAAGTCATAGGTATAGTAATTATACTAAGGTTTAAATTTTAAGGCGTAGTCAAATATTAAAATTTGAAAAAAATATAATTATATATCCCATCATTCAATCATGTTTATTATTTAGATATTATTATTATATTAATTTGCAAGATATTTTAAATAAAATTTAATTTTTAAAAAAAATAGGATCATTTGTATAAATCGAATATAATTAATTATATTGGTTCATATCGTTAGCCCTCTTTTTTAAAAAAATAATTTATTAAAATGTTTTTTCCAACAATTTGGTCAAATAAACAATTATAGAAAGTCTCAAATCATACTAAAATAGTTATTTGGTGAATGGTAACTTTTATTATTTTTAACGGATGTCAATTGAAATATTGGAGTATTTAAAAAGTTGCTTTTGAGAAGGTATCATAATTTTTTTTTGTAATATAATCAAAATCTTTATTTTCAAATTCATTTCATATGATTCAAATATAAATTTTTTTATATCCGTATATGATAAAATTATATATGGTTAAAAAAAATACAGTTGAGTAGTCTAGAACAAAAAACTAGGGCTAGAAATCGAAAGAAATACTTTTACAATATGCAATTTTCTATCTTCTGGCCATGAGATTTAGGCTAGGTTTATTCATATTTGGGGCAACGAATAAAATTCACTTAAATGAAGTCATATCTTTTCTCTATTATATTATATATTTTGAATTATACCTACAAAAATACATATCGAATATTTGCATCATTCGTATTTGATTGATGATTTCAAATCGAATTATTTATACTAATAATAAAAACATTATTCGGTTTGGTTCGTCGAATATTCGATTCTAAAATTAAATTGTTTACAAATATATTCAAAAATGAAAATATGGATTAAAATTTTAAATGATTTATAGATGTAGAAAATAGTTAAAAATTCCGCAAAGAACATATTAAATACCTAAGAATAATTTCAAATTTTATGAATAATTTTATTTAAAAATAATTTTGTACAATTTGTGATACTAATAATTTTAAATATACGATATTTTCCTTATTCGATAATTTTGTTATTCGCTTTCGTAAATACTAAGCGAATAATGAATAATTTGTTTTGGTATACTTTGCAGTAGTTAAAAGTTTTAGAATAGATACAGATACATAGTCTAAAATGGGTCTAGATACATACACCACAAATTTATTATACTTATGTAAGGTGTGCATAATGCGTAATTTAAGATTTTATTGTTAAAATTGAAACTTCGAAGTGAGCTAAATATATTGAGCTGTTATCACATCTATTTACAAAATATATAATTAAAATAATTATTGTTAGATTTTAATAATACATATACAAAATATATAATTAAATTATTATAAATAGCTCTGATAAGCCGTCAAGAATGATGGGGATAACACATTTAACCCTTTATTTGAGGATGGGTAAATCAGAATTTTCCCCTTTATTTGATTATGGATCTCAGTAATCAACTTATCTTATATGAGTTGTGAATAAGAAATTTACTTTTATTTTGATGAAAGGTTATTTTGAGCTGTTATACTATCTTTATATATGTTAGTGAACTCTATATTTTGTACCTTCGTTATACATATAATTAGATCATATTTGTATATTTTCAAAATATCTATATTAATCATTTCTAAATTGTCTTTAGGTGCCCAATTAAAAATATTTTTTACATTTGTATTTGTAATTTAAGGCTTAAATAAATTAATCCTGCTAGCTGAGAGGTTTGTATACTTTCTCAAAAATTGTATTTATTTGCATAATAAAAAATATTTTAAACTTAATTTTTATACATTTGTATTTACAATTTAAAACCTAAAAAATGTAATCTTGCTAGATGAGGGTTTTGTATTTTAAAGTTAAGAAAAACTGCGAGAAAAGCAAAATATAATATATAATTTTTCTGTGTAAGCATAATACGTATGTAGCCTAGCTCAAACCTAAAACGTGAATAGAGATAATAAATAGATTAAATATTAATGCTAAAATAAGAATGGGGTTTTGGGTAGTAGAGGGTTCGATACTGGTAGATGGCAAAAAATTAACATTACACTGTCTCCTTAAATTTTAATATTTTTTAAAAAATTATTGACTTTGATGATTGATATTATTTATACCAAAACCCTGCACCCGGGCCCGGCCTAAAATTTTTTTTAAAAAAATATCCGGGGTATATTTTAAAACCAAATACTTGAATACGGCAGTATTAACTGTAAAAATCAAAAATAAATAAAATATATTTAAAAAAAACCCGGGCCGGGCCTAAATTTTTTTTAAAAAACAAACCCGCGCCGGACCGGAAAAATTTTTTGAAAAAAATCCGAGCCTGCCGAGCCAAAAAATTTAAAAAAATCCGAGCCGGGCCGTACAAATGGTACCTCTGCAGGCCACTGATTTATATCAACCAAGAGATGCCCAAAAAAATAATATGTTAAATTATTTGATTTCTTTTCAGAGATTGTCTAGAAATATTGATCTAAAAATTATTATATATGTTTTTAAATTAATATAAACAAAACTAATTATAATATAAAATTTTCATGTGTATGGCCATCCTATGAGTATAATAAAATTTGTCTGGTTTGTTTTTGTCATGAAATAAACTTCGACATTTTATTAAATGAATTTAATTTAAATATTATTATTTTTTATATTAAAAAAAGTAAAAAAAATTATATCAAAATTAATATTAAAAATATTTAAAAGTAGATACAGGTACCTCCAAAAGTATCGAGATCTATTTTAACAAAACTATATCCAGACACAGATATCACATTTTTATATCTAGATATATTAACAAATATTTTGTATCATAGATGTATCAAGAATTTTTATGGGGGGGGGGGGGCTTTTTTGCCATCGATATTAAAAAAAAATTGGACAAGACCCCTTCTTTGAATTGACAGGATCACATTTAAATTTTTTTAAATAATAAACTTTTTTCTCACAAATTTCTGTTAAAAAATTATTAATAGTTTAACCCTAACCCTATTAATATTAGATATGCTTATTTTTTTAAAAAATGATTAATGAAATAATATATTTTATTCATTTTATGGTGAGAGGAGTGTGTAGAGTGTTAAGAAAAATGTTTATTAGCTTATAATGATATTTAAAAAACTGAGACATTGTTAGTCATTTTGACCAGAAATTTAAAATTCGTATAGTACCCGGATAAAATTTTCTATCAATCCCTTGGGCTACGTTTTCGCAAGCAATTAAAAATAATGTCCGAATACGCCTATTTTATAAAAATAATGCCTTTTTATTAATTGCTCGTGTGTAATTATTTTGCTATGACACTCGCTTCTGTTTATATTGTTTGCAAATCTTTGTTAATAAAATTAACAATGAACAATTTTAATTGTTAGCAAAGACATGGCTTAATGCTAAATTTCTTATATTTATTTTGAATAGAGAAAAGTAAGTATTTACAATTCTAACATAAATTATGAGGCATAGGAAATTAAAACTAATAGAGAATCCTGACCTTGATAAAGAAATTGAGGCATTTAAAAAAGATAATTAAATGTTTAAGAAAAGAAAAATACCACATTATTACCATAATTTCAATCTAAAATAAATTTTTTAATTTAAATTTGATTTTTTTTTTGATTTTATAATTTCTTTAAGAATAAATTACGTTATAATCATAAGGTTATAATATATCATAAAATGATAAAGATTGAAATGACTTGTAGACTAAAATTATAATTTAGAAGTTTGAGTGCAGTTATAGTGGCATGGTTGGTGGGGGAAAAGCGTACTTATAATCAGCATTACGAAATGAATATCAATTTATTTTTACCATTATTAAAAATCATAAGAAATAGAAAAGTCACCACTGGTTTAATATTGTAACCTTATATGTTCCTTTATTTATATTTTATATGAAGATCATTATCATAATATAAAATTTTTGGATTTTCAAAATATCTTAAATTCTTAGATATTTTTTTATTTATATTTTCACTCAAGCTTTGATTTTATAATAAATAAAAATGATTATCTTGATGCCTTTTAATCTATTAGATTTCGACACTGTTAGACTATTGCTAACTAAGTTAATCTTTTCATCTTTATATAATTATTTCAATTACTATTTCCCAATTCATAATAGACCAGTGTGTTATAGGAATATATGGTTTACTTACATTATAAAAACGGTGATTATGGGCTCCTTCTCATAAAGGAATCTTGAGGCTCCTAAACTTTCCCCCTTCCAAATGGGTTGTGAGAGGATGTCTGGAAGGTTATTGTTATAGAAAAATAGCAGTAGATACAAAAAAAATCCAATGATATAACTTTGTAAAAAAATTATTAAAAAGTATTTCAATTCACATACTGGCATTTTACATTCACAGAATCTGAAATTTATATTTATTGTATCACATTATTTTAATTTAATTATATGTATGAAATAACTTGTAACAGGTAATCTGAAATTAAGATCCCGGAAAGTTGACCTGCCAAAGAACTTGGCCCCCGGAAAAAGCCCCCAAATATTTTTAAAAACCACTTACCCAAAAATAATATGGAATGTACAAAAAATAATAAAAATAAATTAAAACTCTGAGGGATATTAATATGTTCTCCATAAAAAAGATAATTAAAACTTTAGGTAGAGATGTTAGAAATAAAGCAAATTCAAATGCCAAGCAATCTTATCCACTATAAGAACCTATTAAATAATAAGCATGCTCATCCTTTTGATAAAAATAGACAAGTCGATTTAAAATCTATGATAAACATAAAAAGGAGGTCCAAAAACACTGGAGAAACCTCTTTAGATATTTGCCGAATAAGTTTAAATTCGACAAAAATATTATGCATAATGTAAGAGATTTCCAGATCTAGGCATCATCCATTAATTTTTGATAATTTGCAAAAGTGAATAATTACATTTATGAGGTTCCTCATACTTTTAAAAATCAGAATATTTTCGTTTTTTTTACTCAG